CTCAAGTATTTAGTTTAGAATTTGATCCCTTTTTAAAGGAATCAAAATTTAAAATCAATGTAGATAGTTCATTATGGATATGGACAAGGACGGAAAGAATAAGTTACCTTGGTCAGCAAATTCATATTTAAAGCATAGATGTGAGCCTTTATATCAGCTAGCATAAATTGCCTGAGCTAGTCTGAAATTTAGAAGAAAGTAACCATTATACTCAACTCTAGAGAAAGGATAGTCTTTTATGAAACTGAAACTAAACTTGAAGAGATATTATTGCTATAATTAATTCATCGAGAAGGTCACAAGACAGCATACTTTATTTTTTAATTATTTCTTTGTATTTTTTGGACAGGGTTTCTCTGTGTAGTCTTGGCTGTACTGCACACACTTTTTAGACAAGGCTGGACTCTAATTCACAGAGATTTGCCTGCCTCTGCCTCCCAGAGTTGCTGGGATGCACCACCACCAGCTGGCTTTCTTTGAATTTCTGTAATTCCCCAAATTAATCTTGATTCCTCCAAAGAATTAGATGGCACCATCAATATGTCCTGATAATTAACATTACAGATCTAACTTGGCTACTTCTCTTCAGTTACTTTGTTTACAATCCAGGCATTTAGCCATACCAAATATTAGAAAATAAATGAAACAGCATTCTCCAACTGTTAATATTATTTTTGTCAAAATTTCAAATGTAAAGTGAACTAAGAAATAAAAATTACTGCATAGTAACATTTAATTCAATTCTGCTTGTAAGAAAAATTAGCAACTTTAAAAATTTGTCAACTATACTTGGTCTGCATTGGTTTAATTAGTTTATATTTTTATGAAACAATATTGTAGCTAATTATATTTTCTGTTATCACATTTTACACTTTCAAGATTTATACTGTACAAGCTATTTGGTTTCAGTTTTGAATATATCATTAGGCTAAGATACCGCCCAAAATAAATGTACAAATTAGATGCCTTCTACTTTACATAACCTGGGCTTTTGGGACACATGTCTCATGTTGTTCCCTTCAGGACAATTATTCTGATCTTGTACCTCAGGATGCGAATGCTACCTTGAACACACAGCAGGAACTTCCCCTTAGAGTTTCTTCTGAAGTTCATCCGTTTTCTCACGTCCTGTCATGTCCTCAGTCTGACATATTCAACCTTGCTGAGTATCAGTGGTGCTTTAGGGTCTGAGTACAGACAATCCTGCCTCAATGGCTACATTCTGGATAACAGTTGAGTACAATTCATTGTGACCCCATTTTAACATAAAGTTCTCTGTTCCTCGCTGCCCTGATGTTTGTAACTGTTTCAACTAGAGTTCTTTATTTTCTATTCATCTCTCTCAAATTCAAATAGCTACAATTTCCGGGACTGAACTGCCTCTGAATATAACTATTAATTCCTTTTGGATCTCTGTATCATTTGTCATCTTCTTGTAGCACTCTGATATATTTGCTTTCCAATTTGCTCTTGTTTAGCAGCCCATATTTCTTAAACAAATTGACTATATTTTGTCATTTCTAAGGTGAGTGCTATCTGTTATATCTTAACATTTTTATCAGGCACTAGTACATGAAGCTTCATACAGCAGAAAAACAACTAGAAACTGCATAAATAATTTGTAATTTTCTTTTCTTGAATGGCAAGGGCTGACAGGTGCACAGTGGGTGGGCATAAAAGTTGAGCAACCAGAATTCTATCTCCTATTTTTTTTTTGGTAGTGTGATGGACACTTTTGTATGTTTACCATTTTAAACTTTTTATTCCTTTATAAAAAATACTCTTTATGTCTCCTGAAATTTCTTCTTCTACAGCTTTGTTGGTATATAATTCATTTGCAATGAAGTCTACATATGTAAGTAAAAATAAACATTCATATATACACATTAGTGTATAAATTTATAATGTATCAATTTGTATATAAATGTATACAAATTAATGCATAAAATATGTTAAAATTAATTAACACAACTGTTACTCCTAAAATATCCATCATGTTTCTTTATTATACCATTCTTTTGACTCCTGGCCATCTCCTATTAAGGAGATTTTGTTCATGTGTTTTAATAAGGTAAAATTATTTTCCATTTTCTAAACTATCTAGAAGTAGTGAGATCCAGTGTATATACTTCTTAGTATTTTTTTTTTTAATTCATCACCACAATTTTGAGGTTTTCTCTGCAAGGTTTGCAAAAGTAGTAAATTTCTTTGTGCTCCTGAGTAACACCTCAATATATGGTTGTATTGCAACACTTTTAGGCATTCATCTATTGGTCAATATTTGAATTGCTATCAGTTTGAGGTTATTACAAATAAGGTTTTTATGAATATTCACACAAAAGGCTTCTCATGAACTTAGGGGTTTTTGTCTCTTGAGATAATATATTGTATGTGGTGAATATATAATTTTTGGAATAGTAATTCAACATTCTTGTTACAATGTATTTTGTATTATAATATGCAATAGACCATATTAAAATATAAGTATAAATATCAATGTTTTAGGTTTAGTTGTCTAAAATGATTGCACTATATTTCCCTTGGCATGACATGGGAGCCCTTACGGCTCTTTTTCCTCACATGTGTTTGGGATGCTCAGCATTATGCAGATTTTATCCTGTGTTTTCTTTTAGCCACTTCTTATTTTCATTTTTTCTCACGTTTATTTAGAGTAGTAAGATTTTGTCTATAATATTGTAGTAAGGCTTCCATTTATGTTGGATGATTATTTCAGGTTATCATTTTAAAAGCTTTGCATTTGAAATCGTAGCTTCTCTGGGATTTGATAATGTTATGAGTGTTTATTGAGGTTATCTTCCCATAAAATACATTTGTTTTAATGTTAGTTCAACTCATTTTATTGTCTTTTTGTTTTTGGTAAGAAATGCATCCATCTTACTATAGGGAGATACAAATGTTCGTAGGTATTTACACAGTGGGTTTGTGCTGGTAATGAGAATAGGGTCTAGTTAATAAGATCTCTAGTTTATAAGCAGTTTTTAATAGATATAATGGCCTACTGTGGGTGTATAGATAGACAAAAGAACAAATATTTCCAAATAAAGGAAATGTTTCATCTTATAGCCTCTGAGGCCTTTGTCACACAACGTGGCTCAGTGAATATAAAACTGATGAAGATGTTAAGTTGCTCTTGGAAAGGATTTGTGGCCATGTAGTTAAGTGTTCACTTTGGGGAAAGCTTTGATGATCATTTGGTTATCTCCCCTCTGATTTTCTGAACAAGTAAAACAATACAAGCTGCTTCCAACCAGAAAAAGTATTTTAAATGTTATATTTATGACAGAAATAGACTATATATATATAAAGGTAAAATTATTATTAAATATAGATACCCTAGTAGAAAAAAACAATGACACATTTACTCCACAGATGCTCCAATGCATATCCTAAAGTGACTCTTTGAATAGCCAAACATTGTAGGAAAATAAAGCCCAATTGCTGAAAAGAGAACTGATCGCTCTTCCCCAGGAACTGTTCTTAGTGCACAACTGAACAAGATGACACAAGTCACCTGGGTTCTTACACTAATTACATTAGTGACAATCAATAAATCTCAAGCATTGCTAGCCCTCTGAAGTAAGTAACTTCTGGAATTAAAGAATTTCTATTTCATCAATATGCTTGATGTTGAAAACTGTGTATGTGTGATATCTAATTGACAGCTTCAGCCTCTGTCAAAACCTTGTTACCTTAGTGACAAATTCATCTTAAACCTAAACCTAGTGCATCTTGTTATTGGGAATTTTTTTTAATCAAATATTTTTTGGAAGAGAAAAAGAAAGCTCTAATGACATCCACCAGAAGATAAGTAGACTGTTGAAAAGTTGACGTTTTGTATTATATCTTAGCACATTATTAGAATCAAATATAAGCTTGATCTCATACCATTAGGGATCAGTAACAAGTGGCTAGCTAATTAACTCACCTATCACTCACTTATAGCAACAGTGTATAAATGCAAAGTGCTCTAGTCTGGGGACCATACTTAGTTTTCTAACTTTTCATAATGAGCACTGATAATTCAGACCTATAGATGTTCTATTTTACACATAAACTCTTCTTTTACTGGGATTTATATATTTTAGTTCTCAAAAGTTGCTATTGTAACATGGACTGTTGTCATTATCTTAATAAATGTACACATTTAACTGAAATTTTGTGAATGATGGTAATAGAAAAGAGTTTATTTATGCAATGATGGAAAATATAAGGGTTGTGGGTTGAGACTGAATGAAATTAAAATCTCAGCTCCTTACCCTGACATGAAACTTAGTTTAATTGAATGTTGGAATCAAATCACTGACCTCCATGGCTTCAGCTTGTCTGTGTAATGTGAGCTGCAGCACATGGCTACTGAATAATGATATATAATAATGCAGTGCCTAGCATTGTGGACTCTCAATAAAATGAGACTAAAATGGTGTCATTTTGTCCTTTTACACATTATTATTTAACTAGTGTTGGAATGGATAGCGAGAAATATCTGAGAGTTTTGCTTCCAGCTTAAATATCTGGCATGAAATTATGCATGCAACAATGAGACCTTCTCTCATACTTTAAAGAGAAATCTATTCTGGGAACAGATCTGTTCCCAGATCTAGAAAGGGTGTTAAAGCAATTGTTGTCATACAGGAATTTCTTCTAATAAATTGAGTTTACATGGTGGAATGGGAAAACATGGGTTACGAAGCATAAGCAGTAAAAAATAAATCCGAGAAAAAAATAAGGGGTTTTTCCATAAACCTGTCTTTTTTCCTCATGCTTCAGATATTATTACATCCTAAGACTGTAGGGTAATTCAATTTATGCAGATTATATTGTATACATAATACATATACACATAAAGCTATAGAGGTGCATATGTGTATGTATTTGACCATTTTTCCATTTCCATTTTTCATGTGCGTGTACATGTGGAATCATTGCATGCATGTATGCTTTTTTATGTGTGTGGGTTGCAAGCATGTGCATGCAAGTGTATGGGTTCGAATGTGTGGGTGCAAGCGTGTGGCTGCAAGCGTGTGGGTGCGTGTGCATCTGGTGAAGGAAGGCTAATCCTGGGAATCATCCTCTTTTTCTCGTCCACCTTATTGAGAAAACTTCTCTCATTCAAACCCAGAGCTAGGCAACTTGTTCTGCTGATCCTGTGCTTCTTTCTACAAGGTTGTAATTACACTGCAGATGTCTTCCACGCCCTCTCTGCACTTAGGCAGGCTTCTGCAATCCGAGTAAGTCTCCTCACGCTTCTGTCGTAAGCGCTTCAGGCTTCTCCTCAGTCTCCATTATTATTTTTTTTTAAAACATCTCGAGATGTAAGATACCTCATGTTTTTGTTTTTTTTTTTTTTAACTCCTTATTTGTTGTTCACTTTACAACCTGACTTTACTCTCATCTCTTAAAAACCTGGTCCTAATAAGCACACACACGTACATACAGATAAACATAAAGAACCAGCCTGAGTTTAAAATAACAACTTTAACAGCCTATTGGGAGCACTTAAAACTCGAGAGGGCTGTTCGCTCTGATTGGAATTACTATGACCATTTTATCCCAAGTTAAACTCTACTGTGGTACCCTTGGCTGAAACTCCCAGTGGCTGTACAAAATACTGCTCTGGAGCACCATAAAGCAACTATCCTGGGCACCATAGCAATACACACTTACAGTCAGAAAACTGCCTATTCAACTATAAAAGGGGATTTTATTTGAATAAGATGCAGCCTTGGAGCTTTCTCTTTCTAGGTAGGGTTTGTGGATGTGCACATGAGAGAGCCACAAACCAAACCTGACAGAAGGGCTCTATTTGCCCTTCCTTTCTCAAAAGGGCTTTGTGCTGTAAAGAATTTCAGCATTGGTGCATGAAACTCAGAAACAGTCAAATGACTTCATGCATTTAACTTCTATTCTGGCTCAGGGATTGCTTAAAGCAGATGAACTGCAGGTCGTAATATTCATAATCATACTGTGAATATTTTGATCGCTATTATGCCATGAACAAATTTAAGAACTACTTTCTCCCTCCGAATCAAGGCAATTCAAATGCTATATTTGCCAGCAAATATAATTTTAGAAATCATTAAAATTAATGAAGTCATAATTTCAAACAATAGAAATATTCGCTGCAATTAATTTATTTTTAGATCCATAGAAATAGATTTTTATATTCGAGAGTGTCCTGATATTCTCATTCCCTTAATTGTGGGCCAATGATAGCAAGGGATTTTGCCATGTGACTAGTAGTCATATTTTTCTTCCTTAACCTAGCCTTCCCATTCATTTGATGTGGCTGAGCAATCAATAAGTTCTGGTGTTTTCCTTCTCTGATAGAATGGCAATAAAATTGTCTAATGGTCTGCTTTAAAACATTTTGAACAGGAAAACTGGATTGTATATGAGATTAGGTCATACATTTATTTAAACTGATATCTAGATAGTTTTTCTTTGTCTTTATTTTATTTTACTTTCAATGTTTAAAACTCAAATGGCTAATTAAAAAAAAAATGTTTTTCTTTCCTCCCACTCCCGATTAACTTATAGCACCCGTGTGACTATACCCTGACATCAGTAGTTGGATTCAGAATGTTTCATTGTTAATTTTTTTTTTCCTTTAAAGACGGAACTTTCTCCATTAGTGATGGTCAGTGTTATGTAATTTATGTCGTTCTTATCTGGCACTGTACTTTTGAAGGCTTTCCTGAGGACTCAGCAGAAGCAACAAAGAAATAGTAACCACGTGTAAGGTTGCTATGATATTAAACATCATAGCTAACAGACCAGTTTCCCAGGCAGGAACTCAGGAGCAAGCAAGTAGCTTACCCTGCTACTAGAACAGAATGAGTGAATTGGCAGAGGATGTCATAGAGGTGCTGTGAGAAACTTGCTTTCTTGGAGTTACTTATCTAAATATTTTATTTAGAATCTGGCCTGATTATCTTATATATACACTATCTTATCTTACCTTATCTATCTATCTATCTATCTATCTATCTTACATCTTGGTCATAACCCCATTCCTCCTCACCTGCCAATCCCACCTTCCCTGCCCCCCTTCTCCTTCTCCCCTATTCTTCAGAAAAGGCGAGCCTCCCTTCCCATCCACCCCATCAAGTTGTATTAGGGCTGACCATGTTCTCTTCCTGGCAAGGCAGTCCCTCCAGGAAAAAGTAATTGAAAAGCTGGGCAAGAGATTCCATGTCAGAAAGATCCCCTGTTCCTCTTACTAGAGAAGCCACATGAAGCCTGAGCTGCCCAGTAACATCTTTGTAGGGGCCCTTGGTCTAGTCCATGCAAGTCCTTGGTTGCTGCTTCAAACTCAACAGGTCCTTCTTGGCCCTGGTTCCCTGGTTAGTTGTCACTGTTGGTCTTCCTGTGAAGCTCCTGTCACCTCCAGGTCCTTTCTCCTTCCCCCTACTTTTCGACAAGGCTCCCTAAGCATCCCCCAGTGTTTAGCTGTGAGTCTCAGCATCTTTTTCCAGGCACTGCTGGGTAGAGCCTCTCAGAGGACAACTATGAATGACTCCTGTCTGCAAGCATAGTAGAGTATAGTTAATAGTGTCAGGAGTTGGTTCTCTCCCATGGAGTGGTCTTGTGATGCATACATTTGTTGCTTCTAATCCATGTTATACTGAGTAGCCCAATTAAAATGTCATTGTATGTGGGATTCCTGACCACTGTGGACAGGGGAAGTTGGGTGATGATGTCCAAGAAGACTAGTAAAAATGCTTTTTTGTTCAGTCTTTCATTCAGAGTAGATTTGTCTCACCATCATTATTCCTCTGTCAAGAGAAAAAAAATTCTACATGTTTGAAAGCCAGAGCTTCATTGTTACATAAACACCAATAATAATCAAAGACAATGATGCAGTCAACTCGAGGGAAAGTATAGGGGAACTGAAAGGAGGCAGCTGGGAGGCGCTGGAGGAAGAAAAGGGAGGTGGGAAAGTTACACAATTCTGTTTTAATTAAAGACATATTTAACAATTTTCAGAAGTAATTAACAGAAAACCATCGACTGTGTGGAGATACATGTTGGGATCGCTATAGACTGAGAAGTGTCCATTTAAAATTGCCACCAATACTCTAGTTTATGCATTTCTCAATGGTTGTTCCTTGGTGAATAATAAATAAAAGTGCCTGTCTTTGGAATGATATCTTACTCATAAAGTCTCTCAAACTAGTTTCTCCCCAAGACATATTTAGCACAAAGAGCCTTGACGTTTACAAAATCAAATATTACTTAGACACAGCTAAGAGGGACAATGTAATATTAAATAACATAAAAAGCGATTTTACATATCCTCAAATAATTTTTAGCCATCAACCCTATTTTGACATGCAGGCATTTATTTTTTATTTGTTTTGTTTGGGTCTTATACTTCTAACTCCAATACTTTCCAACACTCCAATATCAGGTTAAGACAGAAAGAAGGTTAGTGGGGAGAATGGGTTTTGTTCTCTTTAGCTACTTCCTTCTCATTAGGGTTGTTGGGTTCTTTGGGGCAAGTCCAATCTTCACTTCAGGATATAGTCAGCTTCTCATCAAACCACAACAGCAGCAACCAGGAGCAGCAGGGGGGAACAGCAGCTGACTTCTTCTTCCTTCAGAGCTCCCCCAGACCCCCCGCTCTGGCATTTATTCCCTCTCCAGAGTTCTCGGAATTAAACTCCCTGCATCTGGCAAAGATGATGTCCCTTTCAGAGCCTGCACAAGGCAAACAGTCTGATGCTATATGACAGTCTGAAGCAGCCCCTTATCCCACACCTGGGAATACAACAAAAAACATGTTTCTGTAACATAACTGAGTTTTTAGAGGCACCAAAACTTCCAATACATTGACATACTGAAATATTCATCCAAAAAAGAAAAAATTTAACCATATAATAAAATACCATTGGGATTTTTCTTCTTAACCTGTCTTTTGAAAACTGTATACATTATACACCACATCATGATCCTATCTAGGTTCACATTCCTTCCTGCCAAAATCTCCCCAGGTTTCCCCAACACACCTCCTTCCTGAATTCATTTTCTCATTAAAAAAATAAGCTATTGAGTCCAGTTAGTGCTGCATATATGCACAAATGAGGAGCCATCCACTGGGTCATGGGAAGCCTACCAGTGCGGCCCTCCTCCAGAAAAGAATGACGTCACTCTTCCAGAAGCTATCCAGGGCTCCATGATCAACATAGACAAATCAGCAAATGTGATCTACGATATAAACAAACTCAAGATGAAGCAGACATGATTGTCTAATTAGATGAAGAAAATGTCTTTGACAAAATCCAATACCTGTTCATGATTAAAGTCCAGGTATTTAGAGATTCAAGAGACGTACTTCTACACAAAAGACAGTTTACAGCAAGCTCATAACCAACTTCAACTTAAATGGAGAGTAACTCAAAACGATTCTACTGAAATCAGGAACAAAATAAAGCCATCCACTCTCTCCATACTTACCCAATATAGTACTCAAAGTCTTAGGTAGAGCAATAAGACAACTGACAGAGATCAAAAAGATACAAATTGAAAAAAAAAAGTCAAAGTATTTACAGATGGTATGATAGTATACATAAGTGACCAGAGAAATTCCATCAGGAAACTCCTATAGTTGGTAGACACTTTCAGCAAAGTAGCTGAATACAAAATTTACCCACAAAAAGTAGCCCTTCTATATACAACTGACTGTCTCTTGTCACCAAAGGAGCTTTCGGTAGAGGACTGGGTTATATGTAATTGAGTTGTTACCCGAAGGGATCATTGGAAACCCCAACCAACTCAGGCTGTTGCCAAGAATATAGGCTGCTCTACATACATTCACAGCAAGGCCCCGTCCCTGAGGACAATTACTATATGTCTCATTGATCATGGAGAAGTCAGTCTGGTGTCTATATAGGGCCCTCACACCGAAATAGCAAAAGTACTCTGCATGCTGCCAAAGGAGATATACAAGCCCTAGCCCAGGCACAAACCTTCTGATCTAAAATGCTGTTATGCCTTAAAGATATTCTTGGGTAATGGTGCCATAATGCTTGCAGGGATAACTAATCAATATCTGATTTAATTTAAGGCTTACTCTGTAAGGTGGAACCCGTGCTTCGCCCTGCTTTGGTGACCATGAGTATGAGACTAGATAGCTCAGAAACAAGGGCACAGCAAAATACTGTTCTAAACAACACCACCAAGGAAGAAGAAAGCACTGAAAATTTTCACTCCTACTGACACTGTGCTATATTCATAGATCAGTGCCTTGCT